CATCACATAATCCCAACCCCATTTTACAGCTTCCACGTACACAGACTATCAGTCCTCTTTATTCGTTTCACAAAAACATAATATCTCAGCTGCTCTCCAACTATTCCTCTCAACCAACGATGATAGTTCAAACAGGATAAATATTTTCCTTACCCCTGCCATTTTGCAGCAAAGTTTCTTCTCCACACTCTTCGTAGCCACTTTTTAATAATTGGATATATTTCTTGGGGGTATAAAATCCAAATCCACGCAGTTTCCGCTTGATAATACATGAGTTGATATCTTCATTTGATGTGCTTCTTATCTTATTAAACTAAAGTTAAAAGGAAGGTCGCAGCTGTAGCGGGTACATGTCAGCCATGTTCCGCTCCTTTTCTTGGCCTTGCATCGAGGCAACATGGGCCACTCCCACAACCTGCCGATTTCGGGATGCCCAAGCAAGCCTCTTGCTACCCAAGCTCCCTCCAGTGACTCCAAGGCAGTCACTAGGACCCAGGGGCTCCATTAGAGCCAAGAAAGGATGAACGTCTTCAGGAGCAGCCTGAAAGACGTCCGTTCGCCGCGCCATACTGGAAGTGTCTCCCCGTGTTTTCTCCATTCTTGTTGCTATTAATTATGTGTTCAGAGATAGATGCTTACTGATGCTAACACGAGTTAATGCTACTTTTGATGAGAAGTTTTTGAATTCTTTGAGGCAGCAGTGATCAGAGTTGGTGCATGTACAGCTCTTTCTAATGTGTAATGTTGGCAAGGAAAGGGCAGGGAGAATTTGCTCTGGAGAGTAAAGGAAGAAAGAAGAGAGAATGTGTGCCCCAGGCTGGCCTCTGTTTAAAAAACATAGCTCACAGAGAACCTGATCGATATGCACTGGAGCTTTTCAATACTGTTTGGAATTTCCATATTTCTGTCTCCATCAGAGCCAAAAAAGCAAATTAGTGATAGCAAAGAGTTGAGTGTTGCAGTGGGCCAATACACCTGTGGGGTTATGACTGCAGAGGGTGTATTGTTTGCAGATGGGGAGGGGTTATGCATGTAGGTAGTCATTTCTGGCTTTTGCCCAGCTAGTTCTGTTTGAATGGGAGTTAATTGACTCAGTTGCGGCAAGCCAATTCTGTTGGCATCCTCCTCCTCTCCCAGCTTCTGTTATTGCACCTCAATTCCCTCTGTCTAGTACTCTGCCACCAAGATCATTTGCCTCTTTTGTTATGACTGTGAGGCAATCCTCCTTAAATCTCTACATATGTGCCTTGTCCATCACAGGACTACTCACCCTCATCTTAAAAGACCTTCATAGCCTTGTTTCCAATTAATCTCTCTGCTCTCTTATCCCAATATCACCTTGCCCTTTGCTTTTCCACCTATACCAGTGTCAGCCTTTTGAGGATATCCTGCTCCCTCAAACAACCCTGTCCTTTCTGTCTTTCTGCCCATGTACCTGGAATTCCCTCCCAAAACGTGAGTCTTTCACATCTCCCCTACAACCCTTTCTGTTCTGTTAAAGTTTGAACCTTGTTGGACCCCCTCTTTTGGCT